GAGAGAGAGAGAGAGAATGAGAAGGGTCGAGGGAGGGAGGAAGTGCACATCCGGAAATGAGTTTTCGCTCGTGTCCACGCTTAGGTTCTTAGGACTGCCGTCGAGCTTCGTACCTACATGTGCACGCCGAGAGAGGATTAGTCGTAGCTCAGCACACTACCGCTATCTCCCTAACTCCTTCGCTTCATCCCCGAGGAAGCATTAATCAAAGGAGCAACCGTACGCCCTGTTTCCGTCGCGACGAAAGCTGCTGCCGGTTCCCCCCACATGAAATCGCTATATCGCGAGAAAGGGGTTTATTTCGTCTTAATGGATCGGATCGAAAGTAAAAGCCTCGGCAAATTAAAAAGTCTCGGTGCCTGTTATGACTGTTACGATAATTTTTTTATATTTATAAAATATATATTGATAAAGTATTAATATTAATTTTAAATTTGTAAAATATCATAAAAATATTAATTTCAATTTTATATATACATATGTAAGAATAATATTTGAAATGAAAATAAGCGAGACATGAGGCGAGGTTGAGAAAGAATTGATTTGGAACTTCTGTGGCAATATTTTGATCCGAGAATTGTGATCTAGTCCACAATTACTGCCTTACTTGGTGTAATTACTGCTACCACGGTAAACGGAGAGATGCCCGATTGTGCCTGAATGTCTGATTGTGACCTCATTTTCTCGTAATCGTCATCCCGGCCGTTGTCACTGGCGCTATTACGTTGCGAAGGGAGGAGAGGGCGAAAAAGATTCCCGATAAAATCCTGGGATCTACCTCGCGCGCCCGCGGCGGTCTCGGTAATACGACGAAGCATAGTGCTCGTTGTGAAATAACGTTTCAAAAGCGTGTCGGATAGCAAAGTGCATTTTTCATAGCGGTCGAAATGAAATTGAAGACGGAAAATCTCAAATGTGTTAAATGGCAAAATTTTCGCGTGAGAGATACGCAGTGTTATACGAATGGGAGGAATAAGTTTAGATAGGTGCTAGAAAAATCTAATTTAATTGTTTAATTAAAATCTATTTCAATTCGATAATTTCAGATAACTCTCTTGGAATCCTTTGCGAAAATTATCTTGTCGCGAAAGGATTATCGATTTCTCAAGATTGAATTTTTAGACTTTTGTTTCGACGTTCCACGAGTATTAAATTTCTCGAGTATTATCACTTTCCGGTTGTGTCCAGAAGAAGTAGCATTTATTTACCTTTAATACTAAATGTACAAGCGTTCACGGCTTTCGCAGGATTAATCGAAATTCGCGCGGCATTAGATGCGCTAATGAATGGGAGTAGTTGAATTCGAGGTGGAATCGATGCTGAGTGTTTACGAAGACGGCGGTTGAAGCCGGCTGCTTTAACTTTGTCGCCTCTCGCCCTTGATCCGTAGAAACTTGCAGACATCGGGACGCGCGTAGACGTGCGGTAGATTCATCTGGTGGGAATTTAGGCGGCGGGAAAGAGTGAACGATACGGGATAGCGAGAAAAAGAGAAAGACAGCGGAAAGCACAGGAGGTGGAGATGGAGGAGGAGGAGGAGGAGGAGGAGGAGGAGGAGGAGGAGAAGGAGGAGGA